TTATTATTATTATTATTATTATTATTATTATGATAAATAACATTGTGCTCTTGAGCCAAAAGCTTTATTTGTGCCTGAAATTACTTTATAACAGCTGCTTACAATATAAAAGATCTACTGATTATCATTAGGCCTTTGTTAATTGCTCGACATGCATTGATTATTTAACGCATTTGTTAAAATGCATTAATTGTGTGAGATGAAGGAAATAAGTGCAGATCATGAAACAAATCAAGAAAATCAGATATACTGATAGCCTATAGAATAGGAGTTTCCAAACTGTGTGTTGTGGCTCCTTAAGATTCCGTACGGCCATATGGTAGGGACATCATGGTTAGTTTTAAAAAATGATCTTTAGATTTGATTCACTGAAATCCTTGGGTCATTTATGTCCACAACATAACTTTGTACTATCATAGTATATATATTTTTTGTAATATATATTATTTATTTTACTAATTAATTATGGATTAATTGAACCTGGCAAGTCCTTTATCAATACGCTTCTGTGGCTCCTTTAGCATGACGTACATCCCTAGCACACCTCGAGGATTTTTAATCTTTCCACCCACGCAGATCAAGAGTTTCTGTGCCCAACCTGTGTTTGGATGAGATCAAAATTGAATGTCAAAAAAGGATTGTTGATGAAGAACCACGCTCATCCTACCCATTAATTTTTAGAAGAATTTTGTCATAAAATTAAAAGTTGAATAAAATGTGTTATATATTACTTTAATATCTAATTAAAATAGAGAAATAAAATAGCCTATAATATCAGTTACTCATTTGTGTTGAATCATCAGTAGACTATGTTAACCCTTACACTTGAAATTTATTGTTACCCGAGGAAGTTTCATTTATGTCAAGGAAACTGTGCCGAAAAATGTTTGAAAACCCCTGCTTTAGATTCTTTAGGATGGTCAATGGCTTTTTCTACCTAGAAATGCATAAAACAAATTTGTTTGTTTTATTACTTATTTTTTTATATTTGCCTCATATCCAAAAGTGCCGAGATCAGTGCGTAAATTAAAAACAATGAAATGATATCCAGTCTACAGCCATCTACCAATATTGGACGTGCTCCTGATTAACCTTCAAAAAAACACCCAACTTAAAATTACAAATTGCAGGTCCTTTTCAGCCTTTAAAATATGACAGACAAACTCTTGGCATTGTACTGTGTTTCTCGTTACAAAAATGAATACAATGTAATGCTTACATCATATTTGTAGTAAATGTATTATGTGTTAAAAACTTACTTTTCTAATTGATTTATAAACTGATATTAAAAACCCAATTTAATGAATTTATAATTGTTTTGGGAGCCTATTATGTAACTATTTCTTGATTAAAATTCTGTGGTCTAGTTTATAACAAAATTCGAACATAAAATATCTCAAAAAGTACATTCAATGATAGACTGAATCTACCAGTATTTTTATTAACCCCATACTTTGTATATTTTATTTATGAGAAGTCCTTCCTATCATCACAATTGTAATGAGCTTAAAGACTGTGAATCTTCTCACAATTTCTAGCAGATAAGAGATAGAATTAATAAGCAGAATGAAGAAAATGTAGACAATATGAAGTAATTTATAACCATATATCTATTGAATTTTCTTAATTGTATAATGCTGATTGACATAAATAAATAAATAATAGCAAATCTCTGGATGCTTCCAACAATAATATAACTATTTCTTAACAAATTATTTGTAACTTAGTTTTGATGTACTTGAAACTTATAGCTGTGCGATATTATTTTTCATATAATTCTCAGAAGAGAATTTTGACAGAATTCTTACATCCAATATCTCCAAAATTCGAATGCAAACTACGAGCACCTATGAAATAAAACTGCTAGTTCTAAAAGTAAACAAAATGAGAACATGCATCTACCAAAGCTCTTTGTTACTACGAACAAATATACACAATTTTCAATAAAAAAAAGAAAATACCTACCAACTTCATTTTCCCATTTGATCCACATGCAACCAAACATACACAATATTTTCCACATAAATAATGCAAGAATCTAAACTTAATTTACCATAGACATTTCTGATAAGAAAATAAACATTTTAAATAAGTTTAATATTTCATTCTATAGGTATAAACCTTCCCAGTGCTCTCTTTGCACATTTTGAAACAAAAATGACAATGAAGTCAAATATTATTACCTATTCCAGCTCGAATCTCTTCCCTAAAATTCATAATGGATGGACATTCAAAGATTCTCTTTTCAAGCATGGTTTTTCTACCAATCAAAGATGATGATTCTGACACAAGAGTAGTATTTATTTGCAGTGTATTTTAGATTAAGATCTATAGATCTAGGAGCACTGAAAAATTAAGCCTCATCGGCTACATCAAACCTCTTGTTAATATCTCAATTTTGGTTAACTTGGGTTGCATTTTGTTCCTGCCCCAAGCTCTTTAAAAAATATGAATAAGACATATAGTAACAAGAAAAGCCACTCTTTCAGCAAAATCGAGATTTGAACATTTACAAAGGGGCGGGAGGCTTCTTTTGGTTGGTGAGGCTTACCTTATTACTACCTCAAGCCCTCATCATGAAATACCGAAAATATTCTCATGCACAACTGTGACAAAGGGGATAATAATAGCTCCTCTTTTTGTATAGTAAGGTATTATGTTAAAAGTGTTTTTCTATGACAACACATAAGCATGCCACATGACTTTAACATCTATACTGCAATAAAAAACACACTTAAAACACTAACATCAATGATGACAACAAGTAATTTGAATCACTTACTTAATAGTGTCTGAGAAAAGTGTTTAAGAGTATTGGCAATATCCACTCCAGAGGGAATTGGCATGATACCATGTAAAAGTCGAAGTTGATAGTCATGTAAATTGCGTATTTTGGCAGTAACTGAAAAATGCAAATATATCTCACACATCAGTTACTAATACGCCAAACAAGTTATGCAGACTACATTATTTGTAGTTGTGTACTTACAGGCAGCTGCTCTCGTACCCATTGTGAATAGATATTAATTGATAACTCTGATATTAGTACCCAACCAATGGTGAGAAAAATAAACAGGGAAGGGTAGGTTAAAATTTCAAATGTCAAGGAAAAATTGCAACTCTCAAAACCATTGTACTAACAGTGCACAAATAACGTCTTACAAACCTACTCAAGAGAAAAAAGGACTAAAAACCTTCAGGACAATTGGAAAGACAAGTAAATGCAACAAAATTATATTTTAGAGAACCGAGTCAGCAAAACAAAAACTGAAATCTAAATTAGCTAAACCAAAAATTGATAACTAGTATTACTGCACAACTAATAATGTCATGAAATAACTGCCAATGCGAAAACAAAATTCCAAAGAATTGCAAACTGAAGAGACACTAAATACTGGCATTTCTCAAATTAAACATTTCCGAAACGTTCAATAAATTTTTTAGCTTCCATCATTCCAACTTCAATCTTCTCTTATACAAAATACACATATGTCAATCTTCGGCACCATGATCATTGCGAAGCTGCATCTCGCTTTCCCAGCATCCCTATTTTTCCGCTTTTCCTATTGGATAGAAGGCTACACGTCACTGAAACACTGAAACAGCTGACACTTGTGTTCACAGTATGGTTCAGAGAGAGCACTCGAAGCCCGCCGTAAAAAACCCGAAGTCCGAAAGAGAGCGCGCATCGTTTGAATCGAGAATGTCAATGTTAAACATTTCAAGCCTTTATCTCAGAGTGTTTCGAAGTTTACCAACAATACGTTGTGACATTTCCTCTTTTCCCCCTTATTATATCTCCTAATTTAATTATTTAATAAATAAATTATGAATTTGGCTAGCTCGATTTTTATTATAATGAGCGTTATGATTCAATCTTAGGACTACTATTCCTACTATATCGCGTTCTTCGTTGTGGGGCTTAAAATTAACCGCTCTTATGAGACGTATCGCAAACTCGCAACACGTTTTTAGAATCTGAATATCATGAAATCACACATGCGCATGCTCCATGGAAATAATACTTTGGAATGTAATGATATCAGTGAGACAATTGTTTAGAATAAATTGAATAAAATGTTTTAAAAATTGGATTGAGGGGAGGGCATGGCCCCCATTCTCCCTTCTCGGGATCCGCCACTGTTCAGTAATCTGTTTCGCGTACTCTGAACGTTTGTTCACGAGCCGCCACTGCCAAAAGATGATGATGATGATGATGATGATGATGATGATACATAAGATCCGAAAGGTAGACCCAATTCGGATCTGGATCAGGCCTGGATATTACTAAAATTCCACGCCTCTCAGTTGATGAAACATGTTAAGAAGAGCAACCCTCATTTGGAGCTTTCAGCTTCTCCATCTGAAACAAATATTCCCGGGTGATAGACGCACTGTGGCTCGGATTAAGCAAAGCTGACTCCAGGGTGATGCGTGGTTTTGTCGAGATTCGCCGGCATTCCATATCGCGCATTCCATATCGACGCGCGTAGGCGGAGAATTTTTCTCATTCCCGGTTCTGGCTTTTGAAATGTTGCTGACTGCATCGCACCTTTGATCCAGATCCTCGCTCAGCAAAGTTTCAGTCGCGATCTGTTGCGATTGACTCCTCCAGTTTTTCTTCCCCATGTCTCCAAATGAAGATGTCGACATAGCGCAAACAACATCGCGGTTTGCCTGGCACAGTGTTCTGTAACTTCGAAGCTCTCCATGTACCACAACTGGACTCCACGGGATTCACATGACTACTCCATCTTTCTATTCCTCAAATTCACCGTTCCATACAGAATATGTTGCGGTGGACACATGGTGGAAACGTTTTGCGATGCCATCCGAAAATAACACTTGCATCAACATTATCAATGGCAGTATTTCAGAAAGAAGTTTATGAAAATACCGACGATTTACTTTGTGTAATACGTCTATTGCAAGAAGTGGTCTAATGACATATCTTCTAGTCAATTAAAAGTTATGTTGAGTTTACAAATAGGAAAACCTGCTAATTGTCTAAAAATTGAAATATTCCAAAATTATAAGACTACTATTAGCCTACATTCTACCTGAATGTATTAACATAGATATTTTATATCCATAAACTTCTAACATATAAGGTACCTACATCGAATTTCCTTAAAATACTTTCACTTTGGTAGCAACTAATATAATTTTCTCATACTCAGTACTATATGTTATTTAGTAAATCAGTTTTCCAATAATGATTTAGTTATGATAATGTAAACCAGCCTTATAAGTAAAAACTCCTGGCTATGTTCAGATCTTTAAACTTAGTCTATTTATTACATACCTAACACCACTTATTATTGATCTTAGAATTAACAGATTATTGCTCAAGTTGATGTGCTTGCCAAGCACTGCTTGGTTTTGGCTGGTTTTGTCTTATCCAAAGAGTTCAAGTCTGCTTCAGAGGTGGAGGAATGAAATGCATTTTCCAAGAACATGAAGCGAAAGGCTGTTTTCACTGTTGTGTGATTAGCTTTCTGGTACCACCACACATCCCATCTATAATAATTCATTTAATTTATCCTCCTTATTCACTCCTCATGATCATGTCCTTCATACGGCGGAAGGCAAAGGCAAACTATTATTACTACTGTGATCATGTTCCTTGGAGAGGAGAGTCAAGACACAAAATATAAGCATACTTTCAGAAAGGGGTATGGTGGTCAACATTTGTAATCAAATACAGCTCAGTGAAGTAATTTCCTCAATATAAAATATTTGGAGAAAGTTAATTAAGTAATAAGATCCTAATGAATGAACACTATATCATTGTTTGTTGATTACCACGTATTCATATTTCATGTTTTGTGCTTTTATGACAAATACCTGGCAGGATATACCTGATTTTTTTTAAATAAAAAAGGTTTTGTTTAGAAATATCAAAAAAGTTGGTTTTAATTTATTCAATGTAATAATAGTATTGTAGAAATAGTAAAAAATTCATAAATATTTCATAGAAAGAGAGTTAAAAATATCAAAAAAGTTGCTATTAGTTTCTGCAATGTAATAATATAATGGTTTTGGGAAAAATTACATTTAATGCTGTGATTAATTAAAGTCGTTGGTTCAAATTACCTTCAATTCTTTTGATCACACTTTTTCTTTTTCATTGCTTCTGGAAACAGATACAATGGTAACAAAATTCTCTATCAAAGAATTCAGCCATAATTTGTTTGTTCACTTACCTCTAGTAGAAAGTTTCAAAATCATTGAAATTAATTTACAATATCAGAATTTCAATGATGCATACGCAAACACAAGATTGTAAGATAAATCTGTTTCAATTGTAAAGTACATAAAACAGTGATTTATGTGGTGATCCATTTAAATCAAAAGTTGATATAAGCTACTAATGAAAGAACAACCTGTGAAATTTTATTCTTGAGTTCATCATTTTAACATCATTTTAAACCTGAGTTAAGATAAAGTAAAATAGAGTAGGAAATAATGAGAAACTGGTGCAATGTTTGATAGTCTTCTTGGAGGTATTTAAGAAAGAATCATTCTTGAAGATATTTAAGAAATAAGAAATCAGTAAGTTTTGTTGGTAACTGGTATTGAAATATTTCTTGCCTGGTTTGGGATTCGATAAATTGTTGTAAACATTTAGCTTAAATACCTAGTGTATTTTATAATAGCTACTGCTGTTCAAAGAATCTCACTTGTATATAAAGATTCACATATTAGATTGACAGCATGGATAAAGATTGGATTATGCCTCAGGAATGACATTTTGAGATAGCATTTTGAAGTGAGTCATGATCCTGCAGACTATGGCATTTCATAATCATATACATGTGGTACATACATCAGGAGTAATAGATTTTACTGCCATTTAAGATTGATGCATATGGTGAGGGAATACATAGGTTTGTACAAAAAATAGATTGTAAAATAATTGAAAAATTGCACCCTATTTTCGTGGCAAAGTAACAATTTTTTACTGAAATATATTTCCATAACATATCCAGCTCCCAAATTTAATTAAAATTATATTTTTGCTAATATCACTTGCCGTTTCTATCCTAAAAAAAGTTTTAGAAAAAAATGCAATTTTTCAATTCGTACAACATTTTCATTAACTCTGGATAAACAAGAAACTGAATTAAGAGAACTAACATTGTGAAATATATATGGCATATGCAGACAAAACATTAAATTCTGTAACCCAGCAAAACTGTAATCTGAGCAACTTGGGTCTTCAGAGAAACAATTTAAGAAAGCAACAAGTGTCAACCAATAAATTCTTTGTAGTGTGATTCTTTGAAGCATCAGCAACTAATTGATGTCATAAAGTAAAGAAAAGAAAATGGACAACATTTTGAAGAAAACTCTAAAATTTAAAAATGATGTACTAAAAAACTCAGAGAAATCCAATCAGAAACAAAAGATGATTTCAGAAGTGGTACATTAAATTAAGGAAATACTCAACAAGATAACCATTTCCATTCACAAAATAAAAGTACAATTACTTATGTGAAGGGAGAGTTCTAAGAGCTTAAAAATGGTAATTGATAATAAAATATATGTCAACAAATAACAACAAATGCCCAGGAATCTTTCAATAAAAGTAAAAGTCACAGGAGAACATGCATTTCTGATTACTATTGCACACCTTATTCAAATGTTACAGTTAGTATAAAAAAAATATAATCAAACATTGTGCTCCTTTATGAAAAACAATATCAATATTTATCTTTATTAAAATACTTTTTAAATAGTTTCTGTTGGGAACATTACTTTTTTGCTTGGTTTATTTTCAGTTGTAAAGAACCAAAGTGATGGTACAGGACTAGCTGAATTGTTAGTGATGGATAATCTCTTAAATGGGCATTATTGTAAATTGAATACCAGTATATTAACATTTTCTGGTTGAATAATATTACTGTAATAATTTAAAGGTCATTTAGGAATACTACTCTGATGTGGATTACAATTGTATTAAAAAAAGGTAAACTTTCTTCTGCATTTGCTAAAAATGTAATATTTTTATTTAAGATTAAAGTTTAACATAAATAAATGTACATATAGAATATAATGTGAACCACATTTTTAAAATATATTTATAGAAGAATGATTGTTTATTAAACTGATTACAATATGCTTCTTTAGACACTGCACACAATATATAATATATTTAAAAATGTTGGTGTGATTCAGATTCATTCTTCAGTTAGTATCTTTCTATTATTACAAGAAAGGAAGTGCATTGCAAAACAATTAGAATGAAATAAAAAAATGTCATTGTTCCCAGGAAAACTTCTTTTTCTATTAGAAAATATGACAACTAATGTTAATTTTCTACATACATTCCTTCATGCCTTTGGAAAATATATTTTACTTTGCTTTATATACGAAATTAAATTGCAATTTAAAATGTGATCTGTTACTTAAGTTCATTGGTAGGAAATGTAGGCTAGCTTTGTGGTATCTGTCAAAGAAAGACATGGTGATTGGAGAAAGTTCAGTTTCAAGAAGGAAATCTGATGGGGAGGTAATTTATTGAACTGGGCTTTGCAGATGAAACTCCGGCTCACATTTAAATCAAACAGTAAAATATACATGAAACTAATACTTTAAACTAAACACATTAAAGAGGAAAGTAAGCAGTGAATAATTATGAATGGCATTTGATGGTGGTATACTTGGAATGGAATGGACGTTTCGTGTCAGGTCGTTATCTAGATGTATATTTCATATAATTGCCATAATCATAAATGATCTATGCTTACTTCCCTCCTACCGACTGGATTCTTATAATACGGTGATGATTCCTGATATTCGTTATCCAGCCATTTTCAATAGCAACATTACCAATGAGATAAAATCTTGCTGTGTCTAGAACACAAATATAGCACTTTAGATGACAGAATACCATTTAAAGAACACTGAATTAACATTAGTACCAGTAGCAAGAGAAAAAAAGACACAGTAATATTTGAAAATCTGCTATCAGTATTAGTACCAAATCAGACAAGCATGGATATATTAATGGTTCTTAAGATTTCATTAATTTTAGTGTGATGTTTCATATATTTTAAGAAACATTACGCTTTTGAGAGATTTCAGTGGTCTCTCAGTACAGAATTAACATAAAGGGCTTGTTGCTTAGTCATAACGTTAACAAGAAAGTGTCATTGGTGTTTCTTGTTTCACTAATTTTTTTCATATAATTCTTAGAATATAGGCCAAAAATGCTTGTTTTTTTGGTTGTATGTACACAAATGCTTTACATCTTAACCTTTTTTTACACATTAATGTATATATCTATATGTACATACAGAATAGCTTGCATAAAAATGTTTATGGAGGTCAATGTTCCACATATTAATTGAAAGAGAAATGTTGATGTTGCTTCTAGTATTGAAAACATTGAAAAATTTTACACATTATATCGCCACACATGCATGGACCCTTGTTATCTTCACAAATCATCATATCTGTTTACAAATTTTTACATAGAAACATGAAAACAAGCAAAAATTTATGTACCCATAAATATCACTTTGCCATGTAGAGTATGGCTGAAAAATATCTAAAGAAATACATGACAAATGAACTGTAAAAAATACTTTGGTTTCAATATTATTTTTAACATCGATTATTCATTTTTTTAAAAAACTGGACACACAGTAACATTTTATTTTCATTACACAACAATTATATTTTGATAAAAGTGATATCATATCACGATGTGGTGTTATAATTTTAGTGACTACACACTTCTACTCCATTTCTTTGTAGGACACTATCATTCTTCATTTGTATCATCACATTTTTCTGACCTCATCCCTTCAAGGAGGAGTAGACGGGACAGATTACCACAATATTCTTCTTACGGTTGAGGAGGAGAACTCTCTCAAACATAACATTTGCTATATTTACAAAGCTGAAAGAGAATAAACATTCTTTTCAAATTAATGTATTCATCCTTTTCTGCTTTCCTTACATATTAAGGCTTTTCATTTCATGAAACAATTCATAATGATACAGTAAATTGAAGCTTATTACAAACACGACAGAAATATCTAAATAGTCAAGTTGTAGAACAGTTGACAGATACTCCACTACACTAAGGGGCTCTGGGAGATCTCTATGTCTTGGTTCCAGGAAGGGAGAGGCGCAGCACCAGCTATAGTGCACACAGCGTTAACAAGTCAGTCTCCATTGATTCTCCACATTTCATACTAGACATAGAGATCACTAGATGCATATATTTTTGTGAATTCAGAATGGCAGAGATGTGTAAGAGAGTTCACTCATAATACTTAACATGGAAGTAACACTGCTCCTAATTTCCCTGTATGGACATACTCACTCTGAAAAAATATGTTAAGATTTTACTATATTTCTTAGAATCTTTGATTATGAACTGTATTTATTTCACATTATTTGCTGTTTTATTTTACATCTAACTCTTGTCTAAACATATGAATTCAAAGTATAAATACTTGTGTGCATTTGGCATTCAAATTACTAAATATAATAAAAATAATGGGGAAATAGGAAATCTTCCACATATTGAATGAGATTTGTAATGATGTACAAATTTTCTGATCATCACCGTATGTATTTGTGAAGTTCACCTAATGAAAATCATTTCTCAATGATTTTATTAGTATGCAAGAATATACTAAGAACATTTTTGTCAAAATAATTATAAAAGCCTAATTTTCTAACTCTATTTGAACATTAATTTACATTGATTGTTACTAGTTGATTGATAGACTTGGAGATGAATAAATGCAAACTAAAAATATTAATCTCATTTCAATCAGTTCACAATTGTATGACAAGAAATTCAAATAAAGACCCACTTTAAGATACTTAAGTTACAAATTTTCAAATAAATTTTACAAAAGACAAACTTGAAGAATTTGAGGGATAATCAGTTAAATAAATCATCAATGGTGGAGTTTAGAAGTGTATGCAGAGCATTGTCAATAAATCATGGAACAGAAAATAGACATCATTTTTGCCGGGGTGAGATCTGCTCGCCCCACTCATCCAAACATCCCTTTTCATCACAGTCCCAAGCTCTTTCTAATAAAATCCGCAGAAAGTCGCCTTTGTGAGCCATTCCCTCTGTACAAACTCTGCTTCTAGAAAAATATTAATAACACGTAGAAATTATAAAAGACGGAATAAGATTTACTTTCTAAGTACGAGTAAATTCTCTCTACTAGAATTCTTTTTAATGATTGACTTCTAATGGAACGCTCGCACAGGTATAGAAGTACATTTTTTGCAAAGAGAAGAAAAAGTAAAATTCAACACGAAGTAAGAAATGGAAAGGACGAGAGAGCTTCGGTAAAGATTCGATCAGAGAAGAACCTTCACGATACAGAGAGAGAGGCAGCATTCGTAAATAAAACGCGAGATCGTCAACGATGAGTGGGAACGCAACAGCTGAAGGTAGCTGCCGCGAGCGCGCTGTAGAAAGAGCGAAGGACCATCACCGGGAGCGGCGTGGCGGGGGCGGAGGCGGGGGCTGGGCGGTGGGTGGGGAGAGGGGGGAGGGGCGAGGAGCGACGGGCGCGAGCCGCTCAGTCCAGGAAGCCGGTGTTGACGAGCTTCTCGAGGAAGAACTTGACGTCCCCGAGCTCCGAGTCCTTGATGCCCAGGCTCTTGAGCATGCCCAGGTCGCCGTTCTCCACCGCCATGAAGACGGAGCGCAGGTGCTCCAGGTCGCTGCGCATCAGGTGCAGCGCCGCGCCGAAGTCCTCGATCGTCTGCGACTCTGCGCACCGCAAACACCGTCCTTCGAATCGCGCGCGTCGTGTGCAAAGACCGGCGGCTCCTCACTTTCGGCATTCGGCGAGTAGCGATTGATTGATTGATTCGTGTGTCCCGGCGCATTAACTGCTATAAATATTAGTCCCGTAAGGGTAGTGCATTTTTTAAATTCGGGAAGTGTTGGAGTTCTTCTCCAACTAGATAGCGAGATTTGGCGCTGACCTACACGTCAGCTAGCAGAATTTTCGCCGTTCATGTCCCATTGATTGATTGATTGTTTCGCGTGTCCGGGCGCGTCAACTGCTATAAACATTAGACCCGTAAGGGTAGTGCATGTTTTAATTTCGTGAGGTGGCGGAGTTCTTCTCCCTCTAGATAGCTAGATACGGCGCTGACCTACACGTCAGCTAACAGAATTTTCGCCGTTCGTGTAGTATTTCCCACCAGTGGGGCACTGTCTCAGTTGTGGCAAACTCTTATCTCCCGATTAATGTCCCGATAGTGTAGTGACTGGTCTCCATGTAGTAGTGTTGTGAATGTAAGTATGTGTGCGTGAGGAGAGAGGATAGGTCAAGGCCTATGGCCCGTTTGTTAGGGCATTCGCCTGGTGTTGATCTGAAAAATCACGGAAAACTACCCATCAGAGCAGCTGGCCGCTGGCATTCTCCCTCAGATCGCAGCTGAATTCGCCACTCGCCAAATGCCGAATGAGTGAAGTCGTCTATTTGCAATGAGCTTCGAGGAAGAGCACAGAGATCTCAGAACTTTGTGTTGCCACTTTGTGCAGTTCCAAGATCTACTGGGAAGCTTCGTGTATCTTGGCCTAGTCCATAACAACCGCACGCCGTTTTCCCCAAAATTAATTTTTAATCGAGTCGCACGGTATGTTTTGGACTATTGCTCAGTTTGCTTTAAAATTTCAAACGTTTCAATGTTAAACAACGTTGAAGTCTGAATTATGTCTAGTTAATAGTAAAACTAAACCAGTTTGTTTTATGCCAGTATAGTGATTTAAAGAACTAACACCCCTACTTCATCAGAAATAAAATACACGATGAGTTGCAAATAATTATTGTTTTCATTTTATACATTTATTTTGGATGATACACAGATACAATCGTTTTTATAAATTCATTTTAGAAAGTTTTAATATTAATACTAGATGCAATATTCGTAAAATTTAAAGTCCTTGTTTTCTTTAAGATACATGATAATCATAGGCGTGACCTCGGGGGTCTTGGACTCCTGAAAATTCTGAAAGAGAGTCCCGCCGTTCTACTAAAATATTTTGTTTATGGAAAATATGTTCAATTCTTGACTTTATTCTTTTTTAAACTCACAACTTGATGGATTGTGTTTTATTTATTTTCTAATATAATAATATCAATGCAAATAAAGTTTAATGTAAAGGAATATTACAGAAATATAGCTAGCCTCCTGTGTTTTAGACTGCGCACGCCTATGATGATATTAGGTTATATTATCACTCTTAATCTTCGAATATGTTAGGTTTTGGCAACAGTTTAGACAAAGAGTACTACTTAACTTTTTTCTCAGAAACTCAGCACTGGCTGAAATAGCCTCCGAAAGAACGCTTCGTCCCAGAGATTCATGCGGCGTACCTGAAAGCGCGATGGCCACTTTCTCGACGCCGCCGAGGGGCTGCAGGGCGTCGCGAGCCTTGTTGCCGAACAGCTTCTCCAGGTAGTTGGGGCCGTGGCTGGCCAGCAGCGACTGCAGGAAGCTCGCCGTCTCCTCCACCGGCGGCCGCTTGGCTGCGTGGTCAGCGCGCGCGTGCCGGTTACCCACCGCCAGCGAACAACGCTCTTTCGGGTCCGTGGGTCCGTCAGAGTCTGTCGGGGGCTGTCGAGGACCATTGGAGGCCGTTAGGAGCCGAGGAAGTCATGGATCCGTTAGAGTCCTTGGATGCCGCAGAATTGCTGACAGAATCCGCTGGGCGTCCGTCGGGACTGTCAGGGTCTGTAGGGTCCATCAGGGTCCGTCGGGGTCCGTCGGGGTCCTTCTGGGTCCGTTGGGGTCCTTCGGGGTCCGTCGGGGTCCGTCGGGGTCCGTCGGGGTCCGTCGGGGTCCGTCGTGGTCCTCCGGGGTCCATCGGGCCAGTTGGGGTCCGATGAAGTCGGGGTCTGTAGGGTCCGTCGGGGTCCGTCGGGCCCGTCGGGATTAGTCGAGGTCCGTCGGGATCCGTTGGGGTTCGTTGGGGCCTGACGGGATCTTCCTAGATACACCCCATAGGAGGAACCCCAATAAGGGGTCCCTACTAGGTCACTCCTCCTAAGGTCGCGAGGTAGGTCGGTCCTTCAAAGTCCGTTACGGAACTTCGAAGGCCCATCAGGATTCTAAGGGGCCATTTAAGGCCGTAAGAAGCCTATTATCGGAGAGGAAGCCATCGGTTCTTTGGGGTCGTCAGGAGCCGTCGCATCCCGTCAGGACCCGTCGGTGAGACGTCGTGTTGGCCCGCCAGAATCCGTCAAGGGGCCATGGACATCAATCGGGGACTAGTGGAGTCCGTTAGGTGGCGCCGATTGGAGGGGAAGCCCCGAGAGGAAGTCTGTTGGGGTTCTCGGGTGTCACCGGATCCTAACGGGATTCGTGAAGGTGCGTCAAG